TGAACGAGCAAGCTGCTGCGACAACCGCTTCAGATCAGTGGAACGTCGTCCCAAACTCAATCTGAGGCCTTCTCGGTTAGACGATTCACCCCTGGAGAAGCCAAAACTATTGCGAGGGCTTCCGTAGGGACTACCATAAGGACTGACGCTCTTTTGAGAGTTGATCCGTTGCAAAGCCTGATCTTGTCGAGAAGCTCGTCGCTGACTTGACCGACGACCGATATTCTTTGCAGTTTCTTCAGCGAGATTACTCAACTTTAGACGCTGCATGATAACGTTGTCGGCACCCTTGCAAAAGACGCAGATACGTCCATCAGGCATGCGAATGATGATCGACATTCTCTTCCTCTTACTGCTGAACTCGATCACATCCAGCACCTGATACGTCTCGGTGTATAGAGAACCTTCTGCGTCACGAGACTCCAGCTTGATAGCTTGTGTAGGGCGATCGATAACCAGATATCCCAGGTCTTTGGCAGCTTCCACAAGTGCAAGTTCATCAGGAGAAGCAGCTTGGAATGCGATGTCGCCATCATCAGTCTTCTCCGGAAGACAAGTATGACAAAGAGCTATACACAGCAAAAAGTGCTTGGCTTTCCGTGAGAAAGGAGTGTCGGGCTTCCTCTGAATGTAATCCAGCAGATCTTCCGTCTTCATGTCGGCATTTTCAGCTGTGTTGACAGTGGATTGCCAATGGCTTGCAGATCTTGTCGACATGGTTCGGATAGGTTCGGGTCGAGATCCGCTTCCACCTGTATCATCGTTTCCGCCATCGAAAGTCTTGACATGGCCCGTGTTCTTTGCCGCAGAGAAGCTTGCCTTACTTTTACCCTTTTTCGGTCGTTCCGACTCTTCAATTCGTCGGCGCATCTCCTCCTGATCTCTCTGCACGTCCATATCATGCAGACAAGCCACACCGGCGACCGACATTTTGCGAAAGCGCATGATATTTTCTGTCAGAGTACCAGTCTTGTCAGAGAAGACATAACTGACTTGACCCAGGTTCTCGAGAATAGTGGTCGTATTCGCAACCATGGGCGTATCAGATATCGGGTCATACATATCCGCATCCTGAAGCAAGTATAGCTGCCCCAACTTGATGATCTCAAGACTGATATACAGCGACAGGGGAATCAGTGTGTTAAACATTATAATGAACCCAAAGAAGATTTCCTTAAAAGGGATGCTGCCATTCCAGAAACCAGATCGCTTGATGTACCAAGCGAAATCCTCAGTTCGATCTCGCCACAGGTAGTAACCGATAGTTAGACCCATTGTGAGCATGAGAACGATGAAGATCTGGACCATAATCATCCTATTAATAACTGATTGCATAGCGGGTTTCTTGGCGCGGACATTCTTGTTGGCGTTCATTCGAATCTTGCACTCCTCGCCTGTATTCACAATGATGCCGAGAGCCTCAGCCGTGTTACGGAGAGTAGAGCCACGGTAAACGACATTATTCATGGACAGGGGTAAAGTTTCACCGTCGACAGTTACTCGACCATCATAGCTGTAAAGGTCCAGGTTGGGGTTTTCGGAGATCACAGTGGCCTGTGTTGCCCGTAGTCCTTCGAGAGTGTTGCAGCGCTCAGCAAGTAGAGGGCAAGCCTGTTTACTTTTGAGGTTTGTCTCACCATCAAGCGCCATGGTATCGATGTATGCAATGCCATTGGGTCCAGTGGCATGCAAAAGCACAATATCCGCAGGAACAGGGTCATCTCGGCGCAAACGAATGACATCGCCAACACGAACATGCTGCCATTGAACCGAAGTCCAGTCTCCCTCTCCACCCAGTTTGGCAGTGCCTGTAGTGCCTGACTCGAGATCATCAAGCATATGTTCTTCACCACTCTCAGACACTTTTTCCTTTTTCCTCCTCATTTTCTCAACGTGTCTAACGCGACCTTTTTCCGCAGTTCGATCCGTCAAAACCCAGGCCTCACTTCGATTCTCAACACGATCAAGTCGATATCGTCTATAGTCATCCCATCCTTCCTTAGCCATACTGAATGCGACAAATACGCCCAGAGGTGCAATAGTAGTCCACCGTCCGACAGTACTTAGACCAGGGATCATCTGAATAGTACCAACAACGAGGAAGTAAAAGTTTCCAAGCTTGCTGAACTGAAAGATGAGTTGTTTCGGGAAGAAATCGTAGATAGTGTAGCGGCTTGATCGGATAAAGTTGCTGCAGTATGGCTTTCCTGCACGCTCGTCGATAAGACCATTGGCATTTCGCTGCGGTGGATTGAGAGGGATATGACGACCATCGGGTAAAGGTTCGAGAGGTTTTTGGCGAAGAATCGTCTCGAGAATCACCTTTTGGTGGAACTCTCCAAGCTGTTTTCGAGTGCGATCTTTCCATGTTGGTTTTGCGCCAGGCCCAATTCTTCGCTGACGCCTTTCTCGAAGATACTTCTTTATATCGGCGCGCACTGAGGATTTGTTACCGTTTCCACCGAACCCGAAACTTGTCTTGTCAATTGGCGAAGTCAGTTCCTTATCGGTTCGGTCCGCAGAATCGGGAGGTTGGTCAGTTGACAATTCTGTTCTCGAAGGAATCGGTCGTAATTCGTAAGGGCCACTCGCTCGTGGACGAGAAGCATCATCGGGTCGCCTAGTTCTAGACCTCGACCCAGATCTCACGTTTGTATCATCGGCGGAAGATCGTCGTGGGCGATCATTGTTAGGATCTGTGTAAGAGCGGCCTGTATTCCTTGGTCTCGAGAAATTGGTCGAAGTTCGAGGATATCGCTCATCGAGAGCAGCGAGATCACGAGCTATTTCACCATCGGTGTCATTTCTCGGCTGAGAAGGACGTCGCCCGTTATTATCGCTAGGGTATGGAGGAGCCATATTAAGGCCGTGGAATCGGCGGTAGCATCTGGAATAAACGTTCGAGCTGTGGAGTGGTCGTGGGGAACGCGCCGGGTTTAGACTGGAGCGGTATTGAAACGAGATGATAACCTTGGAAAGGTTTCTGGTGTAATCAAAGAGAGAAGAAAGAAAACGAGGGAATAGGAACAGCTTTCGGAGGAGTTGGAGAATGTGGATGTTTTGTCAGAATTGAGTTCTTAGGCTGGGCTGGGCTGGGCTGGGCAACGGGGATCGTATACAGCCCGAAGCGGCCTTTACTCCAAGCCAAGGATGGATCTGTAAGCTACACCTGCCATTCGTAATCCTTCAATCTCCGCATATAAAGCGTTATCGCCCGTTAACTCGCTATAATTGCTGCTATTCTTCACCAACAATTCATCTCATCCGGATCTTCGGAACCTCTTCGTGTCTTGAGACTTCCCTCACGAATTACACTTTGAAAGCATGACGATGAGTGAGGCGCAGCATCTGTACTTACATATCATCACCTCGAATCCTCGCAACCCGCGGGTACTGTAACAGGCTGTGCGTCGTACAAGCTCACCGTGATTGGCGCCGTTTATTCAGCCAAGTCGCTAATTCGTAGCTTAAATCAAGCCATCTAATCTGGCGACAAAATAAGCTCATGCACTGAATACGTTTCATCTAAAAACACTGGGGATTGAAGAACTGGGGAAATAACATTGAGTAAGAGGCTGGACTTATTGAAGCAGACCCCAGATTAGTCTATTCTTGTCTTTAAAGGCTGACCAACACTTATCACACGTGCAATTCAAGTCCAATCATATCTCACTGCGCCTCGAAATATACGCAACTCAGTCCGCAGCCGTATGAAGACAAGAGGAGAAAATAAGACGGGTGGACATCAAGACTCGAAGGTTTGAGTACTCGAGGATAATACGCGGCTCAGCCCTGGTGGTACAAATCTCTGACACGGTCCGGCGTTACTCGCACATCTTCCGAGTGAGCCGAGTCACGAGCTGGGTTATAAGGCATTGGCCAACCTCAATCCATCCATCTCGGCACTTCATTAACATGGGACATGCTCTGGGTAATATCTATGGTAATTATAAGACGATCTATTGCACTGCTTATTTATATACAAGTCCTCCTCCTTTGAATCATATCTGCATCTTGTCCAACCTGTCAGATACCCAGCCATGCTGATCTCTGCACCTCTGCCCTCTCACGGTCCCCTCGGAGTCCGTTCATGTCACCCAAGACTGCGCCTTGTAACAGTCTCTCACAACGATCCTACCTTCGAGTCATCCGTCCCTGGACATGGAATTTACAACTTGCACAGCCAGTCAATACGCGCACCAAAGCTTCGTCACACAATCACACAGGCAAACTCAGAGTGAACATAACCCCATTTTTAATCAGCAATTCCACCCTATAAAAATACCCATGCCTTCGTGTCCAACTGTAGGCTTCCCTTGAAGTACACGTCTCAGTTGACGCCTACCGAGGACAGCAATCCAGCTGCTCATAAACTCCAATGTACCTTGAAGCACAAAAAAGATGAAGTCAAAAAACCCAAAGCCCCCCATTAGAGTAATGAACCCAACAAAAGCCGCCGGGGCTTCTCCCCAACTTTCGACGTGATACAAAGAAAACAAGCTATCAAGATATTAAAACACTATCATCGGTGTTTTTATACAAAGACAATGTGTATGCAGATTAAGTCCATGGCAGTGTGCGGTGGTCAAGCAGCGCTGCTCAAGGAAAATGAAGCCGAATGACAGAGTCGTCGGTTAGAAAGTGTTGAACAAGACCACCCAAGAAATAAACAAGTCGCGGTAAAAGATTCAAAAGAAAGTACTTCGACGCGGGAAAGAGTTATACGATCGCTGTGCTGTGCCCGACATACATGACCGATGTCAAAGAAGTGTATCGTCATGCAAGTTCATTCATGGCCGTAGTGGGGAGAATCGACCAAACTGACACCATCGGTATCAAAACTGGTTTGGTAGAATTGAGAAGATGACAAGGAAAGTCGCCTATATGAAGCTGGCGGAAAACAAGAAAAGGAAATCCCAATGGTATAATTTGCCCAAACGCCCTGGTATGATTGACATACTATAAAACACCACCAACACCTATACCCGCCCTATACTCGCTTAGTTTCCTTGGTGAGCGTGGGGCATTGCCTCGGGAGACAGGCTTGAGGGGTCAACTGCGTCAAACTGCACAAGCTGATCCATGTCGAGATCAGCTTGTTGGTGTTGCACGAAACCAGGGGAAGTTGTATGCATGGGCAGGTTGATGGTGTGCTTAGAGTACATCTCATTCAGGCTCGCTCCATCTTCCGAAACAGCACAAGATCCATCGTTCATAGGATACAAATCAGCTGAGCCAGGGCGACCCATCATTGACATAGGAGGGGACTGTTCCAGAATGGAAGGCTCGCCAGGGCTGTTGAATGGAAGAGGAGAAACAGATGTGGGAACACCTGTGTCAGGGTTAACCATTGGCGACAGGAAACCATTGCTATAAGGTGTGTTGTAGCTCGACTGAGGAACCTCAGGACCAGGGGGGAAGAAGCCTGGGCTGGGAGGAAACTCAGCAGGAGAAGCAGTGGTGGCAGACATGGGGTATTGACGCATGTCAAGGCCGAATCCTGCCTGTGTATCAATGCGCAGATTAGGAGCCATGTTGTTTCCAGGAGGCTGAGGAACAGGCGCAAAGATGTGGGGGTTGTGCTGGGGAGGAGGAGGAGGCATCTCTCCAGGAGGTTGGATGTAGAAGGACGGCATCGGCTGGTTCTGGAACATGGCGAAATCAACGGGTCCAGGAACTGATCGCGAACGTTGCCGCTTGTGACCAGGTCCAGGGCGCATGCCAGAGTGCATCTGATGAATACCCCACTGCTCCTGGTACATGCCGACATGAGGTTGAAAGCTGGGCTGGGATGAGGGTCGGGCGGTCGGGGAGACAGGAGCCGAGACGGAAAGGACGTGAGGGTCGTTGTAGGGATGAGGGTTGTGTCGGTTCATGAAAGACTCAAGCGAGACCAACTTGGCGAGTTGGCCACTGAGAACCTTGGGGTTTCCACCGAGGTGGTGAACCAAGCACTGGGTAGCTTGAAGATCCTCTGTGAAATCACCACACTGGAAGAATCCGTTGGTGGTGGGAGATGAGTCCATGAAAAAGTTGGGGGGCCTGTTCAACTCAATGACAATCCCTCCAAGCTTAGTTGGGTCTCCTTCGCCGTTCTCGAGGAAGATGTTCTTGATGGAAGAGAAGGGGTACTCGATCTTGTAGCCGGCCTGCTCGTTGTTGATGTAGTAGGTCATGGTGCACTTGTCGGGTGAGTAGAAGATGATGAGATCCATCGTGTTTTGTCCAACTCGAGTCCACTTTCCGATGCTGAGGGATCGGCAGGTGAGATGATGAATCACTGCTGTTCAGTTAATACACTATTGTACGTGACGGGTCAAAATACTCACAAACTTTACCCTGACCTCCCTGGTCGCCACCGAGCATCATGTTACCGTGACCAAAGGGCAACAGTCCAGTACGGCCGAGATAACTTCCGCCGAGACCCTTGCCAGATTCCATAGCCTGCATAGCGAGATAAGCGCGCATTGACTCGGGAATTGAGTCAATGTCTTCGCCAGTCTCCAGACTCTTCTTGGCCAACAGCTTGATCTTAGCTCGTCTACTGCCGTCAGCGAAATTCTGCGAGCATTGATTCTGCCACATACCTGTTCTGGAACCAAATCTGGACAGACCTTTCAGTCATGTTGATTTCCTCGGCAATTCTCTCACGGACGGTGGCAGTGGGTGTGGGGTTGTTGTTGAATTCCATCTCCAATGTTGTCAATTGATCTTGTGTAGCACGCTGTCGCTTCTGGTTCTTTTGCTGTTGAGTGAGTGTGCTCTTACGGGGAGGCCGTCGTGAAGCATTGTTTGCGGCTGAAGCAGAGGGAGACGGTGTCTCTTTTTTCATGGAGGCTGAGACAGGGGTCGGGACAGATGGTGAAGATGTTGAGTTGGGTGTGGTGACCTCGGGGACGTTGCCCAAGGCCATGGGGTGTTCAATCTCCGTGGCCATTGCTAAAAAGTAGATCGCGAGATGCGATCACTAGATGCAGGTTGAAATTATAAAATGAAATGAAACTGGTCGAAATCGGATGCTGCGAAGCGGTTGTCGTCGATTATACTTGATGCAAACGCGTTCAAGTGAGCTGGATTATCAGACAGAAAAGACGGCGGTGCCAAAATCGACGAGTCGGTAAAGGAACGTAGTGAATGACAGTTAATTCGGTAGTCAGTTCAAACAAAGAGTGTATTCCTTGATCCGTTGAACAGAAAAAGGAGGTAAGAATAAAGTATCGTGATGGCGGATGTGCCGGTCTCGAACGGTTTTGGGCGTTCTAAAAACGTTGTGGACGCGGAAACGATCCTGGTGTAAGAGCTGTTTGAGCTTGGATGAGCCTAAAGAAAGGAACGGACCCGGAAAGAGTGACGGGAACCGAAGATTGGCTTGAAGATTGAATAATTCAAGAGAGTGACTTAAGGAAAGAAAAGAATGAACAAAAAGACGAGGGAGAAGAAGCGGAAGAAGCGGTCACAAGGAGTGTGGACTGGCGATGCAAGATGGAAAAGAGAAACGGACGGGGCACGGGGACGGGGATGGGGGGAAGTCTTCAAAGGAGAAGAGCCGTTGCCGACAGAGTCTAGAGGCCTACCTGTCTGTACCTAGAGGCTAGTCCTGCAACTTTGCCTGCACCTTTTGCTGCCGTCCCCTCCACGGGCGGGCACCTCGATCGGAGAAAAGGTACAGGGCTCAGACCAAGGTACCACCACTAGCAAGTAGTGTGGGGACACGGCGCGGTACTAAAACCCTCAGAAACGGGGAAGAGGGAAAAAGGATGGAACCTCGACTCAATGTACCCTGGCGTCAAAGACAGAGGTGCGGGTACCTGAGCAGTGGCTTGACAGAGTTACCTAGCCCCAGGCACATCCGTCTCCTGACTGGGCGGGCGTGATGCGCTTCGGTGGAGGGTAGACAGCAGCTTAACGCGCCAAGGGGCAGCGACGGGACCGTTACAAACCACAGCGCCGCCATGTTTGGTCTGCAGTTGGTGAGGACGACAGGGGGTTGATGCATTGCAGCCCTGAAGTCGAGCCCAGCAATGGATCCCAAGCCTGGCCAGTCATCGTTTCTCTCTTTTTACCCCCTAGTTCCGCTGCCCCCAAAATCAGCCAGTCCGACTCTGCTCAACTTGAGAGTTTCCTTCAAGAACGAAGGCCTCAAACACGTTACGCCCCGACGCCAACATGTGCCTAAGTTGGCACAAACTAACCAAAACTTGTGAGATCAGCTACCAATAGCTTGTCGTGTGGCCACAAAAGGTAACTCTCAATTGACCTCCTTTTCAGCCTTGTCTCTTGGTTCGACAATTGAAGTCAACAGCATAACCTCCAGATAAGCGATCTCTTCCAGATGAGGAATTTGTCTCGTCCTTGTTCGTCCGTCACATCAGATTCTCAGCATTGGACAGGCCCCTTCCTTGTGGAAAAAGCCAACCGTGTCACATCCAACCCGCACAATGTGTACGAGGGAGGGGCCTGTTGGCGAGTAGCAAAGCAGGCCATAGCGGGCCAAAACTGCACGAAGACTTTGTCAACGAACCACTGACGAGTGACTGACGAGAACCACTGGCGTCCACACCCACTCAAGCCGTGCTTGGAGTCCACATCCGACACCACCACAAACATCCCAGCTCCCCAACGCACAGAACGAAGACATCCATCATTTGTCCATTCATCCAGCGGCCGTGACCGGTTCGATTTCTCTTCGTATCAATTGTCTCTTGGCCCAGACTTGTTCGGACTTCGGTCCGTCAGATAGTTCCAGGATATGCTGAATCAGTGCCGTCTCTGGATTGGGTGACATCCAACCGTGAGCCTAAAGGAATCGACATACCACAATTGGCAAGTGTGAAAGTCCAGAGGCCGGGTAGAACTTGTGGTTCAAACCCTGGATCAGCATCCAGGGGCCCCGCGAGACTGCCGCTGTTGGGGAAGAATTAGCTCTGGGTGGTCGGCATCTTTACCTGGGCGTTTGTTCTTTGTGCTTCAGCTTCCGTGACGTGTGATCAATTGCCAGTTATTCATCTTCTGATTATTTTCGCTTCTCTTGAGTTCATCTTGACTTTTTTGCCATATCACATTGGCTTCGCTACTCTGAGTCTGTGTCAAGTTCGATCCGTCTGATGCTGACACTGGCATTGTGAGAGACGATCGGCGTTCTCGTCCCAGACATCAGACCAGGGTATCCATCATGCAACAAAGAATTCAATGTGGCTGACAGCTACAGTAAACGGACGGATACACCAAAAAGTCAAGGCCAAGACCAGGCGCAAGGACGCGGCGAGGACTTGAATAAACGCACAGTTTGAATGGTCGGAAGTACAGGAGTGGAGCTGAAGCATCAATGAGAGTTTGTCTATTCCTCAGTTGGGTAGTATCGGTAGGGCACGGTACCTGCATCAGGGGTAAGGTCCTTGCTGAGGTGGGCTCTTTGGGTGAAGTTATGCAAAGATGAAGCTTTTCATAGACGTGAGTTGTGCAGATATGCAGAATCCATCGTATCATTCCTCTATGCACACTAATGCAAGGTACGCGCCAATGAAAATAGTGGGCTCGTTTTAGGGGACGACAGATAAACGGCCCCCAAGACGGAGCGGTAAAAGGGTGCTGTGCCCTCCATAACTTCACTCCTTATTGGCCGCCATTCCTGAAGTTAGCTCTTCCTGCCAAAACAGGAAACCCAGAAACGGTCCGGTCTTACCCTATCGAACTCGTTGTCTGACAAGGAGGGAAGGCTCAGCTGGCGCCACACTTCTTTTTGACCATCTCGATGCTAGCTTTATATGACGATATCAAATCATGTTGCCCTATTCAATACCGAGATTGATATTGGTCAAGACAACTTGAACCGAGACCGGATGAACCTGTTATCAAGGTCGCAGGAAACAATACGACATGACGCGCTTGGTGGTCACGGTCGGAAGCACCTTGTCAGGATGGATGCTGATCATCAGACCCGCAACATGACAGCCAGAAGACTCAGCCAGGCCAGAATAAACGTCAAGCTCCCGGACTATCGGTTTATCATCCCGCAGGATTTCGAACTGGCCCAATGGCTGTATGCTGACTGGTAACCAGCTGGCAATTGACATCTCAAACAAACCCCTGCTGTTGATTTGTCTTGGTCTTCACTAACATCTGTCACGTTCCCGAATCCCTTCCTGTCGATGCGAATATCCCACACCTTTGCTGAGAGGAAACGCATGAGCAATGCGAAGATCAAACATATGGATGGCACGTGTTCCCACCCTTCCCTCGGTTGCGAATAGCAATCCACAACTTATCAGGAGGTTTCTGTGCCTTCAGCCACATATCTCAATCTCGCACCTTTAAACCGCCCTGCTACTGTGCTACATCTGACGTAATCTCTTCGGTTGGCGAAGGGTACCGGCACGCATGAGTGCCGTCACAAGTCTTGGAAAGCAGCCAGGCCAGTATTGGTTCGGGGCTTCAGCAAAGTATATCGTCCATAACTTCATTATGAGGATACGGATAGTATGAAGTTCCCTTCGGATCTTTGACAACACTATGCTATCTCAATATGGATTCCACCTATGTCGCTCATCCTTGGGGGCTTCCTATCGGTTTTCGGTGCTCTCTTTATAGCTGGCAAGTTTTGGGTTGTGTTTGTCGAATTGGTAAGTGGCATAAACACGAACTAGAAAATTCCCTACCCCAATTAAACTCTTCCCTTGATCCACAATTGGTTTCGAAGAATTCAAGAAATACGACCATGACTTCGGGTCATCCTGGTTTCACTTCGTTATTCAGTTATGAAAAGTGTTGGAGGAATAATTGCATTTTCAATTCCCATCAAAATGCTGATTTATGCTAGTCAGCCTCGCCAGTCACATCGTTAATCCTGACTCATCCTTCTTCAACAATCTCGTCAGATCTGCTGGCTCCACGTTCCGACAACTCCCATGTCGACATTTGCAGGGGTGATCCCAAAGGGGTAACGCGATGACATTCTCTGCGGAATCTTTGGATCCATTAGTTCTTCTCAAAGAACCTTTTACAAAGCCAGCTACAACTTTCGAAGTCGGGTTTATATCATCATAAACTCTGTCTTTCGTTTCAGAAATAAGCCTCCGCTAATATCGGTAGCTTCAAGCATAACACGGATTTCCTGAATTGTACTCGTAACTGCGTCAAAGGATCCAGCGAAGGATCGTACCACAGCAATGCCACCACGCCATGGCATGTCTCGTCGGCGTGAAAGACTTGTATGTTCGGGATCTGTCGTATGCTGAGACCCTGTTCCTGCAGTAGTCTCTCAATCCATCGTCATCCGGTGGACCACAACACGGCTTACTGTGTGATCTTTTCTCTTGACCCCTTTTCTCTTGTGCGAAACACTTGCGGTCGACGCTTGTTCAAGCAAAATCAGCCTGACGTTGGGACCAAAAGTCGGTCGCGCCTTGGCAACTTTAGCGTCTATCAGATTATTCCGACTTGGCTAACGATGAATAGGGTATTGAAGGGAAGATAGAATGAAACTATTCAGAGACTACCGCCTTCAGCGATGAATGGTCCTACGGCCACCGCTATCTGGCGTTGATCTTTGCCACCACAACAAAGCCTCAACGGTTGTGGCTGTAATACGAAAAGTCTCGACCTTACTACGTAGTAAGCATGAAGCGTTGACATACACAACATCCTTTGATGGACGATAGGAAAATGATGCTTCAGAGGCATTGTTTCTTTTGCCGGATCCGAGCCTTTTCCCGGGCGCGTCCGGAGTGACATAAAAGATCCGACATGATAGATCAGAAAACACGAGATGCTTGTCGAATTGTTTTCATCGTCAGCTTGCTACTTACCTATTTTGGCACCATTACCCCTGACTTAGACCCCTGGAGGTGCATCTGGGGCATGGTACCTTGCAGGATCAGCATGATACACAGCCAACCAGCTTTGAGCCATGTCTCCGCCAGGCGGCCACATGCCATTGGGTCCACCTGTGTTGGAGTTTTACCTCACCCGATCAAGTCTAGGGGGTTCAATCGCCCTAAACTCGCTCTCTTTTTCTTTGAGCTCTGGGGCTTTTTGGGTCAAGGCAATTGTGTTCATACACCAAGTAAGCTGAGAGCATGCAGCCATGAGACTCACAGTTGGTGTCCACTGAATTATGTTTTGCATAAATGTCGGGATTATACAAGAGCCTCTGGTTGGTGGATTGGCATTCGACAACATCACACGGTAGCTTGTGAGGATACTTGATGAGCAATTGAGCCAATTGCACCACGAAAGAACCATTGCTTTTTATTCGTCTCACATCATCACAAGAGACTTTTGCTCTCATGTTCCCAACTTCTGAGGTCAGAAAGCACAGACAAGAATGAGCACCGTTCGACAAACCCTACTGTCGATCGAGTATGGCCGAACCCATGGCCACAGTTGGACTGACTTATCAATCCTCTGACCAGCTCCGAGAAGTTCAACCGACAACTTGCATGACGAATCACGAAATCCATCCAATGGCGGCAAAGTTCATACTGGAGACGATATGCATATGCATCCATGGCGGGAATGACAGCGCGTCGAGCGCGTTTGTTGACCACTTGATTTCAGTCCTCACCATCTGTTGCAGAGTTGGCATGCACCACTCAGGAGATATCTCCCTTAAGAGCATCCCTAGATCCTAAGAATAACTTGTCCAGATATGACATGGCAATGATACGAATTCTCAGACGCTGTTGGTAACATGTCAAGCTTGGCGGCTCATGCTAACTAACCGGTATGGGGCTCTCAGCATCATGCCCTTCAGCTGTACCGCTATGAAGGACAGCTGAAGCCCTGGCTGAGCACGTTTACGTTTCTACCTAACAAGACGCGCTGAAACGTGAGTCGCTCCCCTGTTTGGTCAACATGCGCCAAACAAGGGTTGTGGGACGGAACCAGACTAACAAAATGGGGCGTCTGAGATCTTTGACGTCGACTATCATGGCATGGCTTTTCTCAGGGATTCTCTATTGACTCAACCGCAGTCTCAATCTGGCTTAACCAACATCACCAGTGGACCCTTGGACCCGGGGTTGCTTCTTTCCGGCCTCACTTGGTCTCTGACCCCGTTTAATCGATCGTCAACTCCATGAGTCGAGTCAAGTCAGGTCAAGCGGTCGATTTAAGATAGGGGACAAGTTTATTTACTAACAACTATGACATATTAGTCGACGTCCGCGACTTTTGGAAGAATCTGAGAATCCCTCCCTTGCATAAGCTACGACACCGTCCAAGACTACCAAGCTATCTACGGAGCTATTGAGCATGTCATTGCGGTGTTGAGTCCGGTGATCTGGATGTCACGATCCATGCCGATCTACAAAAACGTTACCATAACAGCATAAGGTTGAGCGGGTTACCTGATGCCACGATGCGTTGCATATTGTCTAAATTAGGAGATGTGTCTGTGCTGGAAGACATGCGGGATTGAGACTTGCAATACGCTTTGACCTTTGACTCAGTGTTACCACTATCAGTAAGTTTGTACAGACCATTAAATGGACCGAGGCGTGTCTGAACTTCAGCATGTTACCAATATCATGGTGCTTGTCGAATGCCATGAGACTCGGGTCTCATACATACCAGCCGAAGGGTCTCGCCAGCATTGGATATGTGCTACGTAAGACCCGGTCCGTGGATCACGATCTGAGTTGTACGATGTGACTTGAGGGTGTAACGGCACGGTAAGCGAGCCGCGCTATGTCAATAGCCTTGACGGCCGCAGAGGACTCGGCATATAGATCAAGGTTAGCTATCGTGTCACTCGTGGGGGTACCGTATCAGCTTGAACGGGTATTCAAACTGGCAGTCAGCGTGGTGTATGGGCATCACTGAACAGGTATAGGAGGACTAGAGTCCATCATGATCTGGAAATGATGCGCCAATCATTCTTTTCAGGAATCATCTCGTCTTGGAGAGATTCAAATTTTGCCTATCCCAGTTCAAAGATCTCTCATCACCTCCTCCACAGCCCTCGCTGCCATTCTCTTCCTCTGTTCCTCCCCCATCCCTTCACCCGCTTCCCTTACGGCTTGGAGTTTTCTCATCATCTTCTCGATCTTGGCGATCTCATCCTCATCCAGGTCTTCTAACCCAATTCCCCCAGAAGCACCCTCCTTGCTAGTCTCCGCCTTGCTGGATTCTGAGGGTTCTTCAACATCCTGGCTGGACTCCCATATGGCGCGTCGTAGGCCTTCAAAGTCTGTCTTGTCAAAGCCAAAGCCCATCTTTTGGGGATCTAAATCTTTATCGTCTTCGTCTGCTTTGGCTGAGCTGGTTTCAAAGTCGCCGAACTCGGAATCTGATAGTGGTGCTTCGAGTTGAGACCAGTCGTTTGCTTCGAGGGCTTCTTTTACTCGTGCAACTCCTGTTTTTTCTGGTCCTCGTTAGTGACTTTCTGTGAGCGACAGATTCAACATACCGCCAAATTCGTTACGACCAGTATCGCCTTTTCCACCAAGAGATACAAACTCCAATCCAGCCTCTGCACAGATCTCATCCCATTCCTCCTCATTACCATCTCCTCCCACGCCAATAGCCAATCCTACACCATCCCATTCCCATCCCCCTAGTCCGTTCTTTAGGACTTTGCCGATGTGCTCTACTAGTTCCTTTGCTGGGTGATCCTTGGACGATGAAATCGGACCTGCGGTGAAGACAACTACAACACCTCCCAACACAGCGAGTACTTCGGCGGCTTCGGGAGAGAGAAATGATTCAGACCATTCAGAAGGCGAGGCGATGAGGTCAAGCCAAATGGGAACTGTGGTGGAATAGTATGGTGTTTTGAGAGCGAGGCTATGAGTTGTGCCTGCGATGCCGAGGGAGGGATCTGGTGATTCTGGGGCTGATCCTGTTAGGTCTGTGACGTGTTAGTGAATGTTGTCGTGAAGTACGCCAGTGACAAGCTCACCTTTCACCAGCTTTGACAAAACTGCTGTCTCATTCTCAAGGGCCACAGCCAGTATTCTTCTTGAGCTGGAACTCATCTCGGCTTCAGTCATCTTGGCGACCCAAATGCGACACCTTAATCTGTAATGCCTGGAGTAAAACGCGATGAATTCTGAATGACAGAATGACTGCGGTATAAGTCGGCTTGATGAATGAGATTGGTAAGGGATGTGTAGATGATGAGTGAGCGACCTTGGTGGGATGGAGGGTGCTGATAAGATAAGAACAGAGCTACCCTATACCACCGCTTAGAATATCGAGTTTTGGTAGTATCAAATCTAATAGATGAGTTGAAGGAATCAATTTGGCTCTTAGATATTTAGATCTTGAGCTATGGGATTATTTGGCGCTACTCTCTCATATCTGTGTTCTTAAACTTCGCGACGTCGTCTCCGTGGTGATTTATAGCACCATGTGAAAAGTTCTGGGCAACCAGCATGGCAATCTCAAAACGACAGCTCGAAACACACACGAATTAACATTTTGAGTTGGGAATAACTATCATGAATCATAACTAAAGACCAATGCGATCTTGATACGCCAACGCTTCCATGCAAACCCAAGGAGCTCGGTCAATCTAATGCCCCTAAACCAACCCAAACACCATCAAATACAAGGCGAATGTCTTCCACTGCCCTCTCCATCCCCTCCCCATCCAAACGTCCTCTGCAAAACCTCCAATCCCGCTCTCATTCCCCTCGCAGAATCTTCAGCACCAGGCGCAACACACTCATCCACTATATCATCACGACTCAACCGTCCTCGTCTCCTCGTCCGAATCGCCTGCTCAATAGGTCGTCGCCAGAGTCTGAACCACTGATCTTCACTCATGCATGCATATCGTAGCGTTCCCTGTCTGTCAGGCCGACTTAACGACCACTCCACGAATACCGTCTCGTACCATCGTGTTCGCAGCGATACCCACGGCCAAGTGAATATCCACAACAGAGTAAAATAAAACAAAAGAACAAGCCATCGTGTAAGGCGCCATCGGTTTGTCTGGCAGCTGTTGTATATTTCAACGCGTGCATTCGTTGTAGGGAACGTAATGTTGACTTCCCCACGATATCCCGTCCCCCGCACCAAACTCTCCAGTCTCGACCCCACGAGGGCGAAATCCCAGCCCGTCAATCGACGCTCTAGAACAAACACTTTTAGACCGGCTTTGCTCGCACAGTATCGATAGCACCATTGCGCAACACCCGGTGTGCCCTCCTCTGGCGGTCCGCTCCCTCCGAATCCCGGTGCCCGTGTCATAGCAGCTGTTCCGCGACGCACTTTGTCGAAATTGTTCACGGCGCGTATACGTCTCCATGAACGACGAGTTGCCATTTCTTGATACAGAAGGGGTGTGAGTTCAATGTGGATGTCAAAGTCGATTCCATCCTTGCTGGACTTGCGGTCTAGACCTTGGATGCGGACGTATGGTCTTGGTGGTTCTTTGGCGAGTTCTGAGATGTGCTGCTCTAGAAATTCAGGGTCTGTATCAAGACGCTTGTCGAGATAGTAGACTACTTTGTCGTTGGATGTTCCCTTGAAGGGATGGAGATCAAGGGAGGATGAGCTGGCAGGAAGAAGATCAAATGGGTTTGCGTGAGGCCCTTCATTGTCGACTACGGTGTAACTCGGAGGCGGATCATCCTCTGAGCGGTCCGTATAAGGTGTCAAGTTGTGATGTTGTCGTTGATCCTCTGGATAATGATGCATCGGCATTTGAGAAGTGGAAGTTTGACCACTCGTCACACTCTCCGAGTCCAAATGCGGAGGAGTCTGTGACGCTCGCTGCGAAGCCATACTAGACGATATACTCGCAGCAGGGAGTTTAATCGCCCTTAAAGGGTTGATGAAGAACGATATAAAAAGTCGGAGATGCTGATCAAGTCTAGATCTTGATGGAGTGATGAGCACGTGCCCAATCCGACCTCGCCACAGCGGTACACGTAAGTATTGGCTGTGAAGCACTGTTAAAAAACTGAGGGGGAAAATGAGGGGTGAAGAAAAATACAGTAAACAAGAGGGGGAAATACGAACAAGCGAATGAAACTATTTTATAAGACAAGAGCCAAAGTAAATGTTATGTTGTCAAGTCGTCAAGGCCAACGAACGTGACGAAAGCAAAGATACGTACCCTTGTCAGTGAAGCAGTTGTTGCCTGAGAGTCATGGGCTTGACCCTGCATTGAGTGAGCAGGGTATACAACTGACATAGAATTAACTGTATTCAAGATATGCCAGTTCATGCAATTTTGACGCCGAATTGCGGAGAAGATCTCATCCACTTTCCGGACCCACTTTGGCATTGACGATGGCTTCATTTTGATGACATCAAGCAAGATACGACTTTAGCATGACTATTTACTGAGACTCGACACTACACGATAGTTTTATGCATCAAGCTCAACACCAGTCAATGCTCAAAACTCAAGTCAATTATGGGCATACGCCTTCTATGCTTTTACTCAAGTCCATGGCTCATACAAGTACTGAATCCAGGAGAGTATTATCCCTCATACTTTTATTCCTCCTCTTCTATACGTGGTAGTTCTTCTTTACCTCCCTATGGATCAACATCCACCAAACGTCCAGAGTCCCACTTCTTCTTCGCCGCCTTGAGAAGAACATCCAGCTCACCACTCATCTCACACATACTGCGGAACGTACCATCCTTGTTGTTGATGAGTTCCCAGGGATGAGCATACTCCACCACTTGACCCTTGTCGAGGACAAGCACCTTGTCGTAATCTACAATGGTTGCTAAGCGGTGAGCAATTGTGATTACGGTGCCTGTGAGTTCTCGGATTGTTTCTTGGATCTTTGAGTCGGTGGCGTAGTCGATGGATGCTGTGGCTTCGTCCATGACCAACACTGTAGGAGACTTGAGCATGGCTCGAGCAAGACATAATAGCTGACGCTGCCCTTGGGACAAGTTCGAGCCTGATGCCGCGACTGGTGATTGAAGATTCAAGAAAATGTTCTTGTTGGTCTTGGTAGTTGGCGAGTTTGGTGAGCCAGGTGTTTGTGTAGGCGTAGGTGGCGATGTTAGAGGCTCATCAGGACCAATGAGCTGTACACGTCGAAGCGCCGCAAAGATCTGATGATCTGTGTACTGATCGAATGGATCCAAGTTGCTTCGGATGGTACCGTGGAATAGTGTAGGATCTTGAGGCACAATAGTGATGTTCTCTCGGAGATCCTGAAGACCAATGCTGCCAATCTCCAGTCCGTCGATGAGAATCTTGCCCTTGTCTGCCTCTAGCGCTCGGAAAATTGCCAGAGCCAGAGAACTCTTGCCTGCACCTGTTCTTCCAACAATACCAACCTTTTCTTGCGGTTCAATCTTGAGTGTAATGTTCTGCAAAACAGGGTTGAGCTCCTTTCGATAGCTTGTTGTGTAGTCCACAAACTCGACCGATCCCTTACGAGGCCAGTCTGCTGGGGGCCGGCTGTCCTCAATAACAGCATCCGCCTCTTGCTCAACATCGAGATACTCCTTGATACGTTCCATAGAGTTCATGTTTTGCTCGTTGATAGCATAAAGACGTACAAGCCACAAGACACTCTCAGTGAAGCTCAATGCGTAGCTCAGGGAAATACCCGCAGCACCTGCATCGGTTTTACCCAGGTTGAGAATGAGGAACATGCCAGCAAAGAAGGCCACCAGGTCTCCCACAAGATCAGCCCTGAAGGCCAACCATCTATTGCAGGCCCACAGGTAGATGAAGGGTCGACTCTGGGTGTTGATCTTCTCCAGATTGTCTCGGATGAATCGTCGTTCGTCGCCATAAGCTCGAATGGTTGTCATGCCACTCAAGGTTTCTCCGAATTGCTGGAACAAAGGACTGCGCTGAACTGCCTCAAGACGCTTCAGATCGCGAGAAGCTCGGAGGTAGAAAGCGGCGATGAGGTAGAACAGAACGGCAATACCAGCAGCGGCATACAAGAATTTGGGTGTGATGAATGTAATCAGGCCAACCGTCATCATAAGAGAAATGCCACAGCTGATCACACCAATTGCCACAGGTGCAATTTCTTGATCGACCGCCTCCAGATCTTTACTGAATCGGTTCATCAATTGACCAAGTGGCGTAACATCAAAGAACTTGAACTTGGCTCGCGTCACAGATGCTATCAATCGATCGTGAATGCCCTTTGATGCCGTCAATGAACCCAAGAAGATCCAGAGATCTCTGAAGAGAGCTGCAAGAGCACCTGCAATTCCTATAGCAGCGAGAACGCTCAAGTAGTACATGGCATTGACTTCCTGCGGTCGGCCTTGCGCAGAAATGGACCCATTGAGAGACCTCTGATCTTCCATAGAGCCAAGCCGGACAACGTTGGCAAATCCGACAGAGTTGAATTGTGTAGAAGAGTACACAGCCGGGTTGACCTTTGAGTCTGCTGTATTGTTGACGCCTGTACCATTGACGACTGCAGTGACGTATTGGTTCGCCCATTCACGGACCCAGAGGTTGGTAGCCAATCCAGAAACCTGCTGAGCAATAAAGACGAAGAGTGCGACAATCCAGAACCACCAAGGGCCCATTGACTGAAGATAAAGCTTGAGAACGGGCCACTTGACTGATCCAGTGGCCTTGGTCTCTTCCATGGCATCCTTCTTGGGTTTGCTCTGAGGGTCTTTCTTAGAGCTATCAACACCATCGAGAGCATCGCCTTGGCCATTGACCGTGGTTTCATCGTCACCGACGCTTGAAGGAACACGAGAAGGAATGCGCGAGGGATTTGCTGAACCAGGATGAGACTTTTGGATCTCCTCACCAAGCTTGCCGGAAGCAATAACCTCAGCTGAAGGACCTTGAATATCAACTCGACCATTCTCGAGCAGGACCACATAATCCGAAGAAGGAACACAAAGTGTCGTGTTGTGTGTCACAAGAACACAAGTACGGTTCCTCATGAGAGGTCCACGAATGCAGTTGCTAAAGATCCATTGCGCAGTGTGCGAATCAACAGCGCTCAGACAGTCGTCAAGTAGTAAATGGGCCGAGTTGGAGTAGAGGGCACGAGCAAGAGAGATACGTTGCTTCTGTCCACCAGAAAGTGTGATACCCTTTTCTCCGACCAGTGTTTCGTCGCCATGGTCGAGAATTTGGAGATCGCGCTCAAGTGCACAAGCCACAATGACATTGCGGTACCGTTGCTCATCAAATGGCGCAGAGAAGAGAATGTTTTCGCGGACGTTCGCATTAACCAGCCATGCGGATTGTGCGACGTATGCGATCGTGTTGGCGAGACCAGTCTCAGGGTCGGGATGAACATCTTCTCGACTGCGACCACCGGGACAGTAAACGCCTCCTTCGAGCAAAGTCATTTCACCAAGAAGACCCATCAACATGGATGTCTTTCCAGAGCCTGTGGGACCTGCGATGATATTCAGTTTACCGATCTTGAAATCAATGTCCAGATCCATGAGTTGGAAAGCACGGGAACTATCCTCAGCGACGGTGTCCTTGCTGCCCCACGTAAGAGTAGCGTTGTTGAAACCAATTCGCCTGACACCGTCGTCATCCACATTATCCAAGCCAAGCTGAATATACTTATCGGTCTCTTCCTCCTGAAGGAACTCCTCCACACGATCAATAGAAACCTTGGTTTCCTGGACGTGGGCGAACATATCACCAAACTGGTCCAGCGGGACACGGAGAAGCATGAAGAGCGACATGGCTGTAAAGGCAATGGATGGCTTCAGAGCCTTTTTCTCGACATATGTGTAAACAAGGAACGAGAAGAAGGTGATGAGAACGGGCACGGAGTTCCAAATAGCTACAGCCAGTGCCCAAACCATGAACCTCGAACGCAAAGCCTTGAGTTCCAGTTGACGCTTCTCGTCAATGATACGGCCAAAGCGCTGCTCCCAGGCAAAGTACTTGATGATGCGAATGTTTTGCAAGACTTCATTGGTAACATTAGTACGCTTGTCGGTTGCTGCAAGAATTCTCTTCGAAGTGATGGTGAAACCGCGAGCAAGACCGTAGTTGACAGGGAGAAGAAGGACCATGACGATGATGCCAGGGATAGCACTAAGACCCATGACCTGCCAGAGCAGAACGACAGCAATGATCAGTTGTGTAGGAGCGGAAGCACACAGAAAGTGCAGGTACGCAGTAACTTCCGAAATCTTGAAACTGTCGATAGACATGAGGTTGATAATGGTACCAAGATTGGCCTGCTCATCAGCAGAATCGTCTTTCTTGTCGTCCTTGATACTCTCGTTGGCAGATTCGGCATCGTTGGGAGAAGCTTTCTTATCGTCCTTCTTCATGCTCAGAGCTCGCTTAATCTTTCCAACAAAGCCATTATGTGTCTCATCTTCCTTTGGAGGGCTAGCTTTATCATCAAGCAACACCTTATCCTTGCCTGTGGATGCCTTGCGACGAAGTGCTTTGGCATAAATGTCGCCGATAATAAGAGCTCGGACACGGATACAGATCTTTCGACCAATCCAGAGAGCTTGGTTATCGGCGTATGAACGTATTAAATCGACTACAGGAAGGCCAATGACATAAAGCCAGATGACATTGATCGGTCTGTTTTTATCCGATTTTTCTGCATTGTAGCCTTCCACGAACTCGAGAATCACCTTCAGAAGAAGGGTTGGCGCAAACGTAAAGAGACCGGCAAGGACGGCGAGAGCGCATTGAATCAGCAGGTCCCGCCTGAAGTACTTCAGCAGATGCATCGCGAGAGAGCCAGTTCGCTTCATCTGGCGGTAATCAGCAATAACAGCAGCGGCCTTGTCCTTGGGCAACAAGTTCCAGACATGCTCCATTTCCATGGGAGCCTTCCAGCCCTTGTAGACGATCGCATCAACCCAGCCAAACACAGCCAGGGAAAACAGACTGGCCAATGGTTCGCGCGAGGGTTCAATTCCGTCCTCCCATTCCAAGCGGACTGTTTTGTTGCCCTTTCTAGTGGTCATTGCCATTGCGAAAAGGAGTGTAATAAGTCCAAACTCCACAATTGTTGTGTCCTTGTCGATTCGGCTAATGTCATCTTGGAGGAAGACGGATCGGAAAAGAAAGACTGAGAGGACCCAGTTGAAGCTGTAGAGGAAAGCTGTATGGTTCCAGAGATGAGGACCACGCCACTTCAGAGCACCGAGCACCAGACGCAGAGTCGAGAGGACGAAAACGTATATCCAAATAAGTAGACCAGTGATAGCAGCAGCACGGTTATGGCGTCCCTTGCTGCCTTCAGACAGCTGGATAACATTTACGGCAATGAGACCAGCGACAGC